GATGAAAATTACAGGCCTCTCTCATCTTTTTAAGTGGGAGAACTTGCACAATTGGTGGCTGACTAAATACTTCTTTGCCCCACTGTACTTCTGGCTTTTTAAAAGCATTTTGGGAACAACTGTGTGCTAATGCTTCTCTTTTCAATAAATGCCTTAACCATCCATCAAAATTACCCAGCACATTATTTTTCCATAGGATTCATCCAAAGTCTTCACCATTGAAAAAAGATTCTAGAAAAACCCAAATTGCATGAAAATCCAAATCACTACCATCCACTTCAGTTCTTAAAAGAAAGAATGCAACATGCCACTGAATTTATATAGTTTTGCCAATTCAGATGAAACTTGTTTGTCTTTTTTAAAAACCTTAGAAATTCCAGTTTGCAATTCTGGATTGGAAAGATAGGCAAGTCCAACTGCTTTCCCCTTATTCTTCATCTATTATACAAATTACATCAATACCTCTGTATTCAGGAAGCTCAATAGTTATCTCAGCCTCCAATAATAAGAATCTACTTTATCAGTAAATTCACCACTTCAGCCATACTCAGATTCTTTTCAAGTTGATTATTTCCAGAAAATGTTGAAATCTGCACCATCTAGATGCCCTAGACTATGTTCCTCACTATCCCTGGACAGCATGATCAAGTTTTCTGGAAATAAATCCATCACTTTAGGACAGTGTAATCCCATTCCTACAGGTTGCCAGCATTTTGCAAAGAGATAAACAATGTTATGATGATGTTGAATACATTATTTCTCAATGAAGCCTTAAAGCTATTAAATGTAGCTTGCATCTACCCTCCAATGTACTGACATGATCAGGACCAACAGTACCTTTGCCAATATGCCGCCTAGTGTTCTCAATAGTAGAATTCCGGTTAACATTTGACAAGAGCCCCAGGCAAAACCTGTTCTTGTTATTTGAGGGATCAGTGAAGCCATCCACCAACACACTTGTGGAAGAGGCATGGAATGCCTCTCCAACACGATTATTGAGTTCATAATAGACAATAGAGCACCAGTGTTTTGGCTCTTCATAAGCAACTGCCTGAACATCTGCAACAGAGGAAAAACAGAAATCAGCAATGCTGGAATTAATGAGTTCCTGAGCTTTAAAGTTTCATTTATTTATATTCACTGTGTAGTCTTTGGCTTAAGATCATGGGGAAAAAATCTGGTGGTGTAGTTTCTAATTAGAAATTCTCCCACAGTGCCCCATTATACAATATTTTTAAACCATATTAGTAATTCAATCAAAGCCTTCAAAGCTGAGAAAAGGAAAGGAGGTGGAGCAGATACTTGAACAAGCCATGTGAAGATTTTTTTTTTAAAAGAACAGTTCTTCTATGCAGCTTTGCATGTTGACTTACAAAAATAGAGGGTGCATTGTACCTTGAAGACCAGCAAACACATTATGATGTAAATTCTTACAGAACAGACAGTAAATAGGTTCTTTTCCTACGAATTTATTTTTAAACTGCCATCATACTTAGTCAACTGTAGCAAAGTAAACGCATAATTATGTCTCCATTATTACAGTTCCATCAGTAATGGCTAGGTTTGGCTTAACCATGGTTTACTAATAATCCTTAGTGACTGTTCACACAATATAGTAAGGTATAAACTGTGTTTTACAAAACACAATAGCTGAGTGTATGAACCCAAATCCAACCCATGTTATGGGTTATTGCAATATATAAACCTTGTAAATTATTTTTAATAAAATATCATGGAATTGTATTTCCAGAATGTTTATTTAAGAGGTGCATTTATCAGTGTTTTCTTTTTTTATAATAGCACTTCACAGATTTCAACTAAGGAAGAACTCCAGTCAACAATAACTGATATGCAACCAGAACTACCCCCAGCCAGAAAAAAATCCCTGCTTCCCTGTTCAACAAGGGGATAAACTGACATAATTATATTTATGCAGCTACAGGTACCCGCAGCTACAAATACTCAAGCTTCTTAACAAATTGTAATGAAACTGAAATGAGAAATAGATCTTTAAGATCCCTTCTTTGGGAGCACAGACATAACAAAAGGAGCAAATCCGCTCATCCTGCACTAAATTTTCAGGTTGCATTATGATTCATGAAGCCAATTTGATTTTGATGAGTTTTTAATTTACAATCTCATTAAATTTTTAAGAGGGAAAGCACAGCTTTGTAGTGAGTGGCAACAATAACCTATTCCTGACCCAATGAACCACACATTTAAAGGAAGATGATTTTGCTTCTATTGGCCAAAGGAAGTGACTGCTCCCGGGAACTCTTGCCTTCCTTTTTGATAGTTATCTTTACCCAGAGTAACTCAAATGTACTTGACTGATACTGTTTTTACATGGCATTACTTTCATCCAAGGAGCTTGAGGCAACATACATGGGCTTGCTTACATTTTATTCTCATACCCATCCAACAAGGTAGATTCAGAATAAAAACATGGGAGTAGTCCATCATTACTCAGTGACATTCCTGACCAACCCAGGCTTTGAGCCTGGTTCCCCATCACAACTGCTTTGCACAATATGTGAACCCAGACAAAGGTTTTTTGTTATAGGTAAGGATTTAGCAAAAAGGGAGAGTTCCCAATATGGTTTCGACAAATGAAACTGAACAGCTGGGTTTAAGCACTATGCTAAGCCATGGTTCATTTAAAAATGGTTTACTGAATAAACTACAGATGGCTGGGGTGACACAACATGTTAAGGATAGGCCAAGTGCTGAAGCAAAGAGTTCATGGCATTTTTAATCCTTTCAAGTCACTGTTAGGCACTATTTAATTATTAGTAGCTAGGTGCACTCTTCACAGCAAGATGCCAGTAACTATTACTGCTGCACAGCTTTGCCCTAGTTCTCAAACTCAGGAAGAAATCTTGCCAGCTGGCCATTCCTGAAGAATGAAATCATCTCTCTCTCACACACACAGGCAGATTTCATACGAACTTCCTCACATTTGCCTTAAGTCATGCAGAGCAGGTGCGTTTTGTCTCTCCATTCCCAGCATGAGCCAACAATAGGAATTACCCAACTTCATTGACAGGATGCAGCTTGTTAAGTAAAATCTCTTAAGACTAACAAATCTTCACAAGGAACGGGCCTCCAAATGTCTGTAGCTAGAGAGCACTGGGGCTTGCATTTATTGCTAGTGCCCTTCATAAACATGAACTGCAGCAGACCTTTTTGAAAGGCTATTAAACAAAGGATGTGGCCATACACATCAGGTAGAGGTATGGGGCAGAGATAAGAGCTCACTGAATTAACGGAAACAGGTGTGGAGTAAACAATGTGAACAGAAAGAAGAGTAGGTTTCCCCTTCGTAAAGTGAAGAGGAGAAGGTATTTCTTTTTTATAGTAATTTTATTAAAAATTACAATTAAAAAGCTAAAAATGAATACAAACTAAAAAGAAAAAGAAAAAATATAATGTGCAGAAAAGAAAGAAAAAATAGAAAAGAAATAGAAATAAGAATATAGTAAAGAAAAAATATATAAAGAAATGACTTCTCCCCTCATCACAACAAGTATATACAATTTTAGTAATTTATCACCTTCTCTTAAAATGCAACAAATCTCTTCTTCCCATATCCCATCTCTTATCTATAAACAAATCTTTAAAGACTTGTCAAAATCCATTAAGGGTTACCAGAGATAACAGCATATCTATTTTAACCTTGATCAAATAAACCAACTTTATATTCTTTCCTTTTACTT